GAGTCAAACCGAACAAGCTAGGTCAAATCACAGGAGAAGCACACAGGTCAAGAAAAACAAAATCTGACGACCAATCAGCAACTTCCTTTGCTGAGGGTGAGGTTTAAATAGGCAGTCCATGCTGAAAGCAGAACTATGGGGTCAGTGTTTTTCCCCATAGTTCTCCTTAGGGTAACAGGAGGACACAAACTAGCGCCCTCCCGTTACCCTAAGCTCAGTATACCGCGAGCTACAGCTCGCGGTATACTGAGACGCCGCAGCTGGAGCGGATCCCGACTTAGACGTCGGGATCTGCCCAGCTGCGTGAGTGACAGCTGGCTCTGCCTATCTAGAGGCAGAGCCAGCTGTACCCGCCCCCTCCCCCGTCCGTTCCGCCAGTCAGCGCTGGCAGATCGGAGCGGGGAGAGGGGAATCCAGCCCCTCCCCCTGTCACGGCAGAGAGCCCTGACAGGATCGAGAGGTGAACGAACCCGGTATGTGTTCGCTCACCTCCCGATCTACTGAGCCGACCTGTGACAGTCTCATTGTCACAGGTCGGCTAGAACTATGAGGTGAGTGGAAATTACTCATCTCATAGTTCTCCTTTAAATAATTAACCATGTCACCTGAGGCATTTCTGTTTTAGCCAACATAGACCTTCAGTGTGGACAATATCTACGGGCATTTTTATGGGTGCATGCTTGGCACTGCACATGCGCAATGAGACTGTCACAGGTCGGCTCAGTAGATCGGGAATGAGCGAACACATACCGGCGTTCGCTCACTTCTCAATCTTGTCACGGCTCTCTGCCATGACCTGGGAGGGACTGGATTCCCGGCTCCGATCCTCCAGCGCTGACTGGCTTGGGAGGGGCGTGTACAGCTGGCTCTGCCTCTAGATAGGCAGAGCCAGCTGTCACTCATGCAGCTGGGTGGATCCAGACATAATTGTCGGGATTGGCTTCAGCTGCGGCGTCTCAGTATACCGCGAGCCGTAGCTCGCGGTATACTGAGCTTAGGGTGACGAGAGGACGCTAGTTTGTGTCCTCCCGTTACCCTAAAGAGAACTATGGGGAAAAGCCCTAACCCCGTAGTTCTCCTTTAAGTTTCTGAATTGTCACAGTATTTTCTGAGAAAGGTGAATGTTTCCAAACATGTGGGGTCAGCTACTGTTTTGTGTGTAAAGGGTTAACTGTGGAGTTAACCAACCCTAGTGACAATCGCTTTCAGTCAGCTGGCCTGAGATTGTTGTCCCTCGAGCTGGGAAGTCACTGTGCAGGGTGTGGTATTGCCACATCCTTGTGATGGATTGGTCGCTTCGAAACTGCATATAGTCACGTGGTATTGACATAGAGTGGGTTCGGACCAGCTCCTCCATCACAGCCGCCAGGTGCACTGTCAATGTCTTTGGAAAGGTGTGTGCAAAGTCAATATGTCTAACTACTTCAGGCTGAGAGTAGTACTTCATAATTAGATATAACTTTACAGAACTCAAGATAATTACATATTCCAGAGATAAGAAATCTTAAGTTTCTTATCGCTGGAATATGTGATATTGGTTTTATTACCTGTCTAAAATTATGTGCTGTTTTGTTTTAGAAAAATTCTTGGTCCTCTCTTCTATTAACATTCCATGAATATTTCCAACATTCAACATATTAAAATTCCATGTAACAGCATACATGGATTAGAGCACATTGCTAATGATTAATGGGAGTGGGCAGCCACCCACCTGACCTTGTTTTTTTTTTGTAAAACATTTTTTATTGTTTTCTCTCGAGCATCTTGCTCTTACATAGTATAACAGAGCATATCAATACAGCAGTGTGCGCAATACATATTTCATTCAGGTCTTATTCAGGTGGTTTAAGATGTCAATCATGTCTAATATTTATACAAGTAGTAATATACTTTTAGCTCTATTTTGACAAACTCGGATGTAGGCAAGAACCAAATCAAGGGTAAAATGTAAAATCCTCAAACATGGGGATAATAAGAAATAAACAAAAACAGAAACAGAAACATAACTCATACCATACATGTTATGATACATTGCCTAATTGTATGACTCCTGTCTTGCCAGTGCTGGCTATTGATCCTGTCGGTAACCAGGTTCGTTGTTCATGGTGCGGGCCCACTACATCCATCGTATTGGCTTATGTGCCAGATCCCCTCCCCCACCCGCAAGTCTCCATGTGCAACGTCTTTGGAAAGGGGGAAGGAGGGAGGCGCCCCCTTATTGTGGCGCATTCAAATTCTGTAACAAGTAGTGTTTGCTAAACTTAAAAGGGGCTAAGATATTATTTTGGGCAGAAGGCGAGAGGGCATGTGTAATAAACGGTTGCCATCTAGAGAGAAATTTTGTTATTTTATTTTCTTCTTCCAAATGTGTTTCTGCATTCAATTTCTCCAAGAGGAGTAGGTGCTTAAGATCTACCCTCAGCCTGCTGATCGTGGATGGGTGTGCCGAGAGCCACTCTCTCATGATGCATCTCTTGGCCGCTAGAATGGCCAGGCTAACCCATTGTTTGCCCCATTTGTCAAGGTTGGTAGAGGAGGCTATGGGGGGTTCCCAATAATTAAACAGTAGTAGCATGGCGTCCAATGGAACATTCTGTCCCAACACAGATGATACTAACTGTAAAACTTTTTTCCAATACCCCTGAATGTAGGGACAGGACCATAAGCAGTGGAAAAGAGATGCGGCTGGCAATTTACATTTGGGACAGTGGTCTAATAATGCATTTTCTCTACTCTTAGTGGGCCTTATTTGGAAAGCATAGTATGCCCTGTGAATGATTTTGTATTGAGTCTCCCGCCTTTGCTCGCTACCTATAGTTTTGCACAGGGATCGATACCCGTTAAGTATTTTCTCGACTATATCTTCAGATGGGATGTCCGTCTTTCACTTGATCAAGTTGGAAGATTCCAACGAGGGAACCACGGAATGTCGCAGGTGAGGATATATGTCTGCGATGGACACTTTAGCGTTTGGAAGGATTCTATCTATGGAGGGAGCTGGTAGTCTGGTGTCATGAAGGGGGCTCAGTTTTCTGATATAGGCAGTGACTTGCATATAGTGTAAAAAGTCGGTGTTGGGCATTCCAAACTTGTGGCTAAATTCTGAGAATGATAACAGTTTTCGGCCATCATCAGTGTAGAAACAGCCAACCTATTCTTTACAAATCCCACCTGGGCTGGGGAAATCAGCTGTGGTAGAACTTTCACCTGACCTTGTTAATCTGTAGAAAAAAAAATGTGTTCCCTGTTTTGAAGATGTCCTTCCACTTCCTGTCCTGGTAACAACATTGTAGATGTTGATTGTAAATGAACATTGTAGATAAATCTACAGTCTGACAGTCAAATCATCATACACTGTTCCCACTCCCCTGTTGCATACAGATTAATCTGACCCAAATTGCCAGTATAGTAGTACAGGGGCTTTTACCAAATGTTTCTTGAGTACACATAGCAAAGGGATATAGAGCGGTATAGCCCTTTGTATAGGGCTATATATAGCTGTACAAACAGCTAAAGAGAACAGGGGAACTGGCAGGCTCTTAAAATACACTGGGCATGGAAACCACCACATAAACGCCAGAGCATAAAGAGTAACAATAAAAAATGTGAACACTAATTTGCTGAACATGCAGCAGACCATTAAACATTAATTGAAAATGTGCCATGTGCCAAAAATGTGAGTCCTGAGAACTCAGAACATCTGATTCCTGATAGAAAAACCTGGCTGGTGGTTTAACTCTCCAACATCTACCAAACACTAAAGGGGTTATTCACAAAGCTGCCGAAGGCAGCCGAGTGAATAACCCAGCCGAAGTGAAGTGACTATGGCTCAGTATGGCTGATTTCAGCTTACATCGGCTGCCTGTGGCTGCACTACGGTCAGCCGAAAATGAGTGAGTATCCGAGTGAGTAGCCGAATGCCGCCGAGCGGATTCGGCTTGGCTATTCTGCTCGGTACCTCCGTGGTACCGAGCAGAATAGCAAATCAGTGAAAATAGATTTTTTTTAAAAAGGATTAAAAACATGTTTTTTAAATGTACAGTAATTAAATAGGGACATTTAAAAAAAAATATTTAAAAAAAATGACAGTTCAGCATCCCCAGGTCATCCCCAGGTCATTTGGGGACGCTGATCTCTCATTACAAGTGGGCGGAGCCAGCCATGAGATCACAGCTGGCTCAGAATATGTCAGGAAGCGGGGGTTTTTGCCCCGGCTCGGGGGCCACGGGCACGGCGCAGGGCACGGGTTTCCACTCAGCTTGGCAGAACTCCTGGTGCCCGGGTTGCGGGTACGCATGCGCGGTACGCAGGCTGCGTGCGTATCCCCGGGGGCACGCGTGTAGCACTCCTGCTCCATTAGGCCTCAGGTGTGAGCCTTGCTGGGGGAGGCCGTTTGTCACTACTGTACACCAGACCAGATATAATATGTGTGGCATTAGTCTGGTCTGGTGTACAGTAGTGACAAACAGCCTGAGAGCCATCTTGGATAAACATGATGTTTTGCTCGACTTCCCAGCTTTTTCAGGTCACAGGTGCAGTGCATGGCAGTGCCTGCAGAGTTTCGGCGCTGGATCCAGGGATCAGGTGAGTATACATTTTTTTTTTTTTTTAATTTATGTTCCTCTGGAACATTTCCGGGGACATCATTTGTCTGGGGACTGTCCCTTGAATTTGGAGATGAATGGTCACCCTACTTTACATACTACTCATTCACATTAGTCCTTGCACTAAAAGAGTTTTCCTTTATAAAGCCTTGGCTTAAAACTTCACACCAACAGCAATTAATAATACAAATTCAGAGACTTGGGCCGTGGTTAAACTCGTTCCCTAAATAACCTCCTCCTTTATTTCAGAGCCAAAAATGTTGCAATGGAATTAAGTTTTGGCAGATGTCCTCATCTGGCCAAGGATCAAGTGGTTACACAGTACATGACACTAAGTAGTGGGAAGGTCAGAGAACAGTGTAAAAACAAGCCATTAAAAGGGGAGCTGGGACTGTCCTGACATGATCTAGGTAAGTCTACAAGGGGAAATGCTCTGTATTCTATGTAGATGTCAATGTCCTGAATACAATGCTTTTGGCAGTTAACTTTTCTTATGTACATGTATAAGTTGCTCAGCAATATCATTAAAGCTACCTGGATAGTTACAAAACAGCTGCTGGGAACGGAGGACAAGTTTAGGACAGTATTAAAGATGTAGATTACCACTATCATCTTTTAAGAGCTTGCAATCCACAATTCTCTATGAGGTAAAATATAACTCCAGAGGACATTTTTGACTGCTGTCTGTGTGCTTACTAGGAAGATTTAGGCAAGTTTAACTCCCTGCTCAACCCTCCGGGATGTTTATAAAGTCCCACTCAATCAAGGGTGTACTTTTTATATCCTCCTGAATGCTTGGAATGCTTGCAATGTATCCCTGCTTAAACCTGTGGTGTTTGTCAAAAGAACAAGTTTCCCTGTACTAATATCTAATAGAGCTTCCCTGGAAATTGCAATGGGTCTGGTGAATGTTAAGTTGGCCATACACTGACAGGGTTATTCACAAAAGTGTAAAGAGTTTGGCGAAGGCAGAAGTGAACAATTTAGGCCAAAATTGCAGATTTGGAAACATTCTCCAATTCAGCTCACTTTTCCGTTCTAAATTGTTCACTTCTCCTGCCTTCTCCAAACCTTTCACCATTTTGTGAATAACCCTGTGAGGTTTTTTTTCACTTAGCAGCAAAATGTTTCCCAGCACACTCACCAGTTAGCCTGCAAAAAACACTGTCTAACTATTAAGGTTAAAAACAGAGGCCTTAGTTGCACGTCTTCTGCAGAATATGTGGAAGCCACACTGCCTCGTCAAGGCCCCTTTGTGTAGTGTGGTCCTAACGTCAATCTATGAGAGCCTCCATTTTGGAGCATATATAGCAATATAGCATTAAAGGATAATCCTCTCCCTCCCCTCTAATGTTAGTGTAAGGACTTACCATGACTGAGGCCTTTTTTTCGTTTTTTGCACCCATGTTATATTCCACATTTTAGGCCTGAAAATGACTTAAACCCCCCAAACATTATATATTTTCTGAATGCTAAGACCCTATAGAATAAAATGGTGGTAGTTGCAAATTTTTATGTTGCGCAATATTAGCGCAACTCCTTATTAAACCCCAACATTTAGTGAAAAATTTAATAAAATGCCCCAAAACACAACAAAATACCAATTTTTTAATGAAATATAAAAGATGAGGTTACAACGAGCAAAACGATACCCAACATGCCTAGGCTACAAATTGCGTGCGTCCGTGAAACGGCACAAATGCACCCGACGCGTGTTTACGTGGTGACGCGCATGCTCACGGGAGTGGGGGACTTTTACATTTTTTTTAATCATTATTAGATTTCTTTTATTTAATTTTAATTTAAAAAACTTTTTTTTTTACTTTACTTTGACCGCTATCACATAGGGGGGCTTACAAGCCCCCCCATGTGATAGCAGATGGTGGTGACAGGTACTCTTTAAGGTGATGCTGGGGGTCCAAAAGACCCCCAGTGTCACCTTTACACTGGAAATAAGCTATTGAAGTGCAGATCGCACTTCAATAGCTTATAGCTTGGCTGCAGGAGCCCAGAACTGACAGCCCATGGACCGGAAGTGATGCAATCTGCATCACTTTCTGCGCATGCCGCCACAATCTTTCAGACGGAGCGCATTACGTCACATGATGTTGACATCATAAGCTGTACAAGCGGTGCCCATATCAGCCGCCACCATCTTAGTGTATACCAAGATACACTCCAAGATGGCAGCGTGCATGCACAGAACACACTGGCGGCCGATATGGCCACCACTCGTTCCATTGTGTGGTTTCGGATTTGGAGGCTCGTTGCCTCCGAATCCAAAACAGCATAAAAATCTGTTGCCTTTGACAAAAACAAATGGAAATTAGCCTTGAAACGATTAAACCAGCCATGGCTAGCATTAAAAGATGCACCCTCTGAATGTTCGCCGTGTTTCTTCTTCAAGTCTCCATAAAGGCTTTTAGCTTTTTCCTGAATCAGCATTAAGCTGAGCGGGACGTGAGGCTGAGGATGATCCTGCGTTCACACACTGAGGAGTTTCTCCATCTCCTCCATCCCTTTTCCACGCTTCTTCGATATTATTGTGGACATCATCGGCACAGCAGACTTCACACGTTCTATGATTTTGTCTTTATTCTTTAGAATTGTGCCAATGGTTAAAGGATTAATGTTATAAGAATGAGTGATGTCCATTAACTTTTCGCCTCGCTCCTCTCTCTCAATTATTTTTACTTTTGTTTCCATCATTATCGTGTGGCGCCTCTTAGCAGTACAAGCTACATCACCGCTGCTTTTACGCTTGCTTCTGTACATTCTGGGCTATATACTGTACTGTGTACAGTACTGTACAGTAAAGTACACAAAGGCACAGCCACTTGTAGCTGACGCATGCACGTGACAATGTACGCAAGACACATGAACAAACTTATGTGGTTGGACATGTGAAAGTTTGCATCTTTGAAAGTTCGCAACTGGAAGGTTCATATGTTGGGGACTTACTGTAGTTACAAAATATTACAAAAATAGAAATGAAAAGCAGAAGGTACAAAACATACAAACAGTTTTAAAATAAAATGGTAGTGATAGTAGTAGAATCCAAAAATCTGAAAAGTAAAAAAAAAAACACTGGGTAGTAGTGATCACAATGTGATTACTTTCAATATTAAATATAGGAAAGGAAAGAGGGCGGGACGGACAAGAACCCTTAATTTCAGAAGGGCAAACTTCAATAAGTTGCGCAAACTAGTGGGGGAAATAAAATGGGATAACTCATTTCACAACCTAAACTCAGACCAAATGTGGGACTGCTTCAGGAACACATTACATATTGCCATTTCAAAGTGTATACCGTTGGGTAACAAAAACAAAAGATCAAAGACTAAACCAATATGGCTAAATAAAACTGTAAAACTACATGTTAAGGCAAAGAGAATGGCATTTATAAAATATAAGATGGAAGGGACGGCATTGGCATTCCATAAATACAAGGAATGTAACAAAAAATGCAAACTAGTAATCCGGGAAGCTAAAATAGAATGCGAAAAGCATATCGCCGCAGATAGTAAAAAAAAACCTAAAAATGCTACCAATATATTAACAGTAAAAAGGTAAGAAAGGAGCAGATAGGACCAATAAAGGACGAAAACGGGAAGTTACTCACAAGTGACGAGGAGAGGGCCGAGGCGCTGAACAATTTTTTCTCCCCAGTATACACTCAGGAGAGAAATGGGTTCGACGTACGTGATAAAACACATAGTTCAACCGATAATATACCACAATGGTTGACGGAAAGCGGAATAGAACAAAGACTTAAAATGCTCAATGCAAATAAAGCAGTTGGACAGATAACCTTCACCCCAAGGTACTTAGGGAACATCCAGGGATACTAGTATCCCTAAGAATGAGATGATGCGTGGACCTATATGGGTTGGACTTGATGGACATATGTCTTTATTCAACCCCAAATACTATGTAACGATGTATTTGTTTTTATTCCGAATGACACCAGATCTAAAGCTAACGCGTTTCAGTGGTTCCTAACGTCCTAATTAATCAGGGCTTAGAAAACTGTCTGTTTTGTTTTTTTAATTATTACCTGACCTAATTAGTTAGGTCAGGTGGTAGCGGTTGCTATTAAGGATTTAGTTGACAGGGTTTTTTTTGTTTGTTTTTTTACGGTAGGGATACGCTTTATTCTGAGGGTCGTGGGTAATTCATATTTACTTTTGGTGCTAAAAGTCTATTAGTTCAAAGTACCAATGCATTACCAGTTCCAAATGCCAACATAGTCCAAATGGAAGTGGATTCCACTTTAATAAGAAGTCATTCTATTTTGAGTGATTATATATTTTTAGGTATCACGTTTCCCTTAAAGTAATCTCGGGCACCGTTTTCACATGCTTGCTCTACCACATTTTCTTTATTGTTTAGTAAATACAGATTTGTAGATTTACTGTACCCCCTAGTCGCCATCAGTATTCCACTGTAGCCATTCAGCTGTACAGATTCCATATGTGTGTCCAGGATCCAGTGTGTGTGTGTGTGTGTGTGTGTGTGTGTGTGTGTGTGTGTGTGTGTGTGGAGTCCAGAGTGTATGCAAAGTCCAGAGTGTGTGCAGAGTCCACTGTGTGTCCTGGGTTCACTGTGTGTTCAGTGCGTGTCCAGAAGGTGTGCAGAGGCCAGTGTTTGTCCAGGGCCCACGGTGTGTGCAGAGTCCAGTTTGTGTACAGGGTTGAGTGTGTATCCCCGGAGTTTAGCGTGTGTCCAAAGACCAGTGTGTCCCCAAGGTCTATTGTGTCCAGGGCCGGTGTGTGTTTTCAGACTCCAGTGTGTCCATCCAGAGTCCAGTGTGTATCCAGGGTCCAGTGTGTGCGCTCAGAGTCCTGCAGCTTAGTCCCCTAACTAGTGATGCCTTAATTGTAGAGGTGAATATTTTTCAGGCTTTCTTGTCTATAACTACTGACTAAATGGCACCCACAACGCCAACAGCCTCAATCCGGGACTCAGCTGAAGGGAAATATATGCAGGGTTCAGTGTGTGTGTAGGGTCCAGTGTGTGTTCAGTGTGTGTGGAGGGTCCAGTGTGTGCCCAGAGTTTGTGCAGGGTCCAGTGGGTGCCCAGAGTGTGCACAGGGTCCAGTGTGTGTCCAGAGTGTGTGCAGAGTCCAGTGTGCGTCCAGGGTCCAGTGTGGGTCCACAGTGTGTCAGAATCCCTGGTGAGCTGTGTCCCAGCCATTGTCCAGGAGACTCAACTTTAGCCATTTTGTCAATGCTTGTGAATGCAGACCAATTCTTTAAACCTTTTGCTGTCATTGAGGAATGCCACTGAGGAATGCTATATTTTGGCAGCAGCAGACCCCTGTAGGCCAACTGTTGGTTTTACACTGGAAGAAAATTGGGTGGCCCCTATCCCTGCATACTAATGCAAACACAAGTCGGGTGCACCTACATACAAAAACAATTATGCCACAGATGTTAGGAGTGAGAGCAATAATTCTAGGGCCAATATTCCTGATTAACTCTGTTGATTATCTGTACAGGTGTTTAAAGCATTGCCTATGAACTGTGGCAGCTTCAAGAAAAGGGTGAAGGACTGGACTGCATGTGGACTGGAGGAAACTCATAATCTCTCCCAACTTTTGTTTTAAAAAAAAGGTTAGTGTTATTGCCAGTATAACTTTTGTCGCTATATTCGCCCATCGCTTGCAGAACACTTCTTTTTGGCAGATTCTATGCTTCTTGGCCCCATAGACTTCAATGAAAAACACTCAAAAACACACGTTTGTGGCATTTATGTCCATTTTTGCATATGTTTATGCATGTAACATGCACATCTGTTCATTCACATCAATGTGCCACAATCTGCTCATTAAAATGCATGTAAAAATATGCATAAACGTATTATACAAAACCCACTAGGTTGGCAAAGGACACTTGGACCGTTTCTTTAGTAAAAGTTCCACCTGAGAAGGTGAGTTTCAGCCCAGTAAGGGTGGGTATGCTCATTGATGAACATTGCAGATATCTTTATTATTGATATCAGGGCATTTTTTTAAAAATATATGGTTGCTAGTTGCAGTACAGTTTTATTACACAGGATTTTTGCTAACTACAAAACCTTCAACCCATCAGCAGCCACAACAGGTTTTGCAGTACTCAGCAGAAAAGTCACGTGATGTTGTCCTATATATTTTGTGCCAAATGTGTTAGCTTGTTGGGTTGCCATTCTTTAAACAGATTGTACAGAATAAAAGTTGTGGTTAGCGTAACAAATACAAACATCTTTTTATTAATGACAAAACCTTCTTGGTTGTGTTTCTCTTTTTTATTATGATAACTCTTTCTGTGCATGATATGCCTTGTTTAAAACCACGCCCCTTTTAAATTAATGCCCACCCCTAATTAAAGGTAATTCTCCACCTACAATGGCTTGCTGGACACATAGAAAAAAAAGATTCCCCTGGAATTTCCTTGGAACTGACCAAACTCTGACTCAATGAGTTTCGTCCCAAATTGACTACTTTGTCCTGGAGTAAAAAAAAAGTAAAAGTGAAGGAAGACCCAAAGTTTTTTTTGAAAATAATTTTGTTTTGCTTTACTTTACTTTTTTTTGTTTGCACTTGTAAATGCTGTATTTCTTTCACAACTGTGGGAGCTATGGATCATTTATCTATGTGCAGCGAACAGTGTTTAAGAATATCTGATAGATCTAATAGGCAGCCCAACAGCCAATTGTAAGAGCACACAGCAGGTTTACTAGGCTGCTGTTATTTGAGGGACGGTGACTTAGCATTGTAAGCATTGTAAGCATGCCACATGCCACATTGTAAGCATGCCACTAGAAGTTTTGTTACTGGCAGGTTTTCCAGGGTAGACACTTTTCAACTGATTCACAGTTAGGTGTGAAACTAAGCATATTGAAAATAGATTAAAGTAGGCTATACATGAAGCACATTTTGTCTAGTTCTGCATGAACCTGCTGAAATTTGCTCAGTGGGTGCCACTGTTGGAACCCTTCTGCCTGGTATCCCTCAATCAGCTGATCGAAGGAGCAGGTCGGAAAATTATCAGCCGTACGGAGTTTGCAGCCAATCAGCCTCAAGCTCCGTTCGGGCATTTTGACAGCAGCCGCTGCCAGAATACAATGCAAAGCAGTAGGGGATTCCTCCATCCACACTTCTAAGCGTGGATGGAGGAATCTGTTATATATTCTTCATTCAGCCCGCAGGTTGTACAAAGAAAATATAACTGCATACCCAGTCATAGGGTGTGTGCTAAACATGCTGAAAAATAGGTTTACAGATTACATACACTTTAAAGTTTAATTTCAGTCAAAACATGTTTAGTTCTGGATATAGGACAGCAGGTTGTTATTGCTGTTTCCAATGGGAACAAATTGAAAAATAAAATACATATTTAGATCAAGTGGAATGGTTACAAGTACTCATAATGTTTTATTGCTGGTTGTACCCTCCTGTGCTGGTGACAAATGCACACCCTAAATCTTGAACCAGTGTCAATAGGACAAGATATGACGGAAAATCTATTGAATGTGCTTTTCTTTCCACAGAATGCTTGTCTTGACTTGCTCCTCAAAACTTTCTGCTCTGAGACAACTTTTAACCCACAGCTTTCCAGAATCGCTAAAGGTGGGTCAGAGGTGTTTTTATAAAGTATTACTCCATCTGAGTATGTTAGTTGTGTAACTTAATTCTTATTATGTCTATCGTTTTAGGCATGTGGAGCTCTACATCATGTGATCATTGGCAACCCATTCAAATTAGAGGTCCTGGTTGACCAGTGGCCAGACTTCTCCACCGTCATATGTCGCCCCTCATTGGAGGTGGGTTTAAACAACAACACAACTGGTGCCTAACTTTCCCTGACTTTATGACAGTTTATTGTCCAATGAAATTGCCTTTTTTGACCATTAAGGCAGTCTTATTAGACAGTGGAATGACAGTTCAGAGGGCTAAAGTTTTTCTTTTTTATTCAAAATGTTTGATTTCCCCATCCACACTAAATAGATGGATGGAGGCATCTCCTGCTGCTGGCTGCTGATTCACTGTTCTGCCAACAATTTTCTGCCTAGTACCTTCAAGTTTCCAATCAAAGTTTGTTAAGTCGGGTAGCCAGCATTAGCCATGATGTCCGATAAAGTCGGCACCAGTAATAAAGTGAAAATAAACCAGAAAGGGGCACAGAAGATATTTTCTTGCATAATAAAGAAACATAAACATACTTACAGCACTGGTCCCTAGGAGAATACTAACTATGTTGACCTCTAGGCAAGCAGCTAAATACACAGTTGAAATACCTATATGGGAACTTGTGATCCAGGCACGCCTGCAGGGCAGTAACACCAGATCTTCTGTCTCCAACACAGAAGGAGAACAGCTTGTTAAAAAACATGCTTCCAACCTACCTTGGAGGTTAAGTTTTTGTCTGTGATATATGGCCTGGATCACAAAAGTGGGTGACAAATCTGTTGTAGGGCTGTAACCAACTAATTGATTAATCAATAATAATCGATAACGAAAATAGTTGATAAATATTCTCATGATCTAATAGTTGGTTGGATTCCCTAGCTCTCTCCTCCATGCTGGGAGGAGGGCACGGTAAGCAGTGGGCGGGTGCAATAGCCAGCCTGATATTGGCTATTGCAATATGAAATGACCAATAGCAGGCTGGCTATTGCACCAGCCCACTACCTGCTGTATTTACATTCAGCTGTCATCTGCAGAATATTGCCTGGGTAACTCTACAGAACATACTCTAAGCAGCAGATGGTGCTAGAACGTAAGAGAAGTTAAACCACAAGTATTGTATAGCATGCACATTTGTTAACAACTGTAATATAGATATAAATATAAAAATAACCTGTGTTATGTTTAATTATAGTCCATGAACTCAAAGAGATCACCCTTTAATTTCTGCGTGGTTACTAGGACAGGAATTCGGGAAAAATCTGCCCAGTAGGGACACCGACAGCAGTAAATGCCTGTTACTACTCAATCCAAAACTAAAATACAGTAAATTGATTGGGGTTGCACTTTAATATCAGGTATCTAAAGTTTTGTTTGGCCACCTATACCATCTCAATGGGGTTTTATGTGATTTCTTGATTAAATGGTAATGTTTGATCAGTAGGAAGCAATAATTATTATATTATGTATTGCCCCTTATATGTTTATATTTGCATTGCATATTCTGTATTTCCTTGTTTAGGACATGAAGGGCCCCTCAGATCCTTATACCAATACATACTTTCTGTTCAGTAAAGAACCTCAGAATCTTCGCCAAATGCTGGAGGATCCCCACGCTGTAAACTGGAATCAAGATCTTCAAATAAATGGTGAGGAGGGAGTTCTAAATATGTTAAAAGTCATCTTTGGGCAAACAAAAAAGTACTCTTGCCCTGGGGCAACCCTGAACTTCAATAGTTAATCTGTCATTTTTGTTTAGGGGTCAGAGTAAAGCAGATTTACCTAAATGGTCCCCGCTCCCATGGCAGTCATTGCTCTCCTCCTATCCCCTTTTGTTCCAGCTGGTGAAATGTCCATCGGCATCCTCACATCTAATGTAGGTCTATGGAATCTGCAGTAGACGTGATGGCATCAGTGATCCTAAGACCGCCGGAGCGAAGGGGAAAACGGGGTGTGGAACCTGGACTACACCCTTAAGGGAGCAGGTAAGTAAATCTGCTTCACTACAATCTGCTAGTATTTAAAGCTTTCTGGGGGTTCTTTTTATTAGTAAAATAAATACACTGAAATGTTGATTTTTCTTTTTATGAAAATATGGTTGGTAAGGGTCCTGTTAAAAAAGAGGCTTAGTTACTGCTTTAAAGACTGCACAGATTACAGTGAAATACATATACTACACTACTGTTTTTTTTATTATTAATGGTTTGCTTCACTACAATATTTGGGGTATTTTTTTCTGGGATTAAATTACAAATAATTAAATTACTTAAAAATACTGAAATATGTATTTCTTTATTTAAAAAAGGCTGTGATAGTCCTCATCAAATTGGGACTTGAGGTCAAAATATGAATACTGGGAACATACTCACTACATTATTTTGGGTGTTTTTTTATGGGAATACTATAATGTTCATTCACAATTACAAATAGCTGTTGGGGGTCCTAGTCAAATTGGGGCTTAAGTGCAAATAAATTAAATTTGGGAATGTACTCACTACAATATTGGGGTTGTGTTTTCTGGAAATAAATGATACTGTAATGTTGATTTCTACATTTCAAAATGTCTCCTTGGGGTCCTATTCAAATTTGGGCTTGAGCACAAATAAATTACATATGGGAACATTCTCGCTACAATATTTGTGATGGGTTTTTTTCCGGCAATAAATTACACTGTAATGTTGTTTTCCTAATTTTACAATGTCTCTTGGTGGTCCTGTTCAAATTGGGCCTAGTGTTAATACGTTTTATACTATGAACGTAGGCAAAAAATAACATTTTATGGTCTTTCTTCTGTGAATAAATTACACTGTAATGTTGACTTACAGATTTTACAATGGCTGTGGGGGGTCCTTTTTAAAAAGGGGACTACTACAAGTACTACAATACTGTGTACTTAATATGCTCAAGGCAGAAGTTCATGTACATACAGCTAGTAGGGGTCGGGAAGGGTCTGCATCTGCATACAGAAAAAAAAAAAATCTAAAACCATAAATTCACTCTTTGACATGGATAGCAGACTCCTTGGACTAGACTATTGGATGTCCAGTCCGGACCACTGGCCATATCTAGGACAGTACGCTGACATTTTTATATCACTATAAATCCTGCCTGGTCCCTATTTGTGAAAATGTGTCCAAGCTAAAAGTAAAGTCATGGCTTAACATACAATTCAAGGCATAGTTGTGGCAATTGATGTTACAGCAACCAGGTCCCTATGATTTTTTTTTTGCCTGTAAAAGGAGAAGCTGAATACATATCTGGCTGACAGTCATTTTTTTCCATTGCTATCTGACACTTCTAGGTGTGTTGCATAGCATGTTACCAGCTCTATGGTTCCTCTCATTGGCCACAATGTCACTGCAGGACACTATGGTGACATAGAAGCCAACAGAAAGAATCATGGAGTGCAGCAAGGGCACATATTATTTTAAGTCAATTTTAAAAATGAAATAAAATTACTATTTGACTTGCTGCTCACTAGAGAGGTATATATTCAGCCTTTTTTTTATAGGATGATACTGGCTAAAATTTCTCATAGTGACAGAGTCGCTTGAAGAAACCCCACCATCATTATTGATCCTTATTTTGGCCCTACTAAAGGCTTAATAGCTAATTTGATTTAAAAAAAAAAACAACAATTGGCAACTGTGCCCATTTAGACAGTCACCTTCAATCGGAAAGTGTATCGGTTTTGTACATATTTTTTCTTTATTCATTATGCTCAGGACTAACAAAATCCTTTTATTCGGGTAAATATAAAATATTGCAAATGGATAAATGTATAGCAGGCGTATCTATTGACTTTTTTTTCCATACACATATAAGTGAGAGCAGTGTCTCCTCCCCATCCATTCATTTTTGGCTCCATTCAAGACTTCAGTGTCTCAAGCTTCTGCTGTATCTTTTCTTCAGAATACCTATAGTGCTCTTGGAATCCTACATGTTTTGTTGTATATATCCTTTGAAATATGCAAAAAGAAAAGCGTGTATTAAAATTGAAATGCTAGAGATCATAAAACTACTCACATTTAAAAGTTAGAAAACAAGCGGTGTATGTACACCATAACCAGGAACAGGCCTGTAAATCTGACGTGTTTCCCCCTTCTTCAGAGCTTCCTTTAAAATATATTAAAATGTGTATTTGTAAATCTGCAAAGATTTTATATAATTAGAAAATAAATAAAGCAACAGTTTAAAAAGGTATAAACACCAAAAAAAAAAAAACACACAGCAAAAAAATGCACATTTTTACACATGCATTTGTGGATATTACTATAGCAGCAATGTGCAGAATCCGCCCAGAAAATTGTGCTTGGACTTTTTTGTGGAACATACCAATAAATGCAGAAAACCGCTAATGTGTGAACGGAGCCTAAAACTTTATAGTTTTCTGTTAATCTTGTTGACTCTAACACCCCCCCCCCCCCCTTCCCATACCCACCTCCTGACTAATATTATATTATTATTACATACACAGGTTGCCAGCCAACACTGGGATGTGTGCTGCAAGAGGTCAGTTCCAAACACGGGAGGCATATGCACACGACCAGTAACTTTCTATATATGATGGACAGGATGAGGGATGAAGAGCTTGAGAAGATCAACAGTATAAGGTATGGAGAGGTAAAACAGTGCTCCTCAGTCAGAAGGTCTAAGACATATGTGGCTGTCAGGTGACTATGCTGTTGCCCATGGTAGGTGCTCAGAACTTGTCTGAACACCTTGTAGGATTTAGACTTCACATTTTGTATCTATTGATTGAGATTTTTTTTAAGTTCACACAGTTATAAAGTATTATAGTACATCCAGTCATACTAATAGTGTTCTCAGGATCCCTGCCAGGATTTCCAGTATCCCTGCGAGGACTGCTAATGGAAAGCACATGATTTCTACTTGGTGGCTTCCAGGCTGGTTCATCACGACTCGACATCAGCACAAGGATTTTTGCCTTACATCTGAATGACCAGTCAGCATATCTGCATTAAAGTGACACTAAACTCAGGAATTCAATCTTAATACACATTCAAGTACCTTAACTGTTGACAAAAATGTATCTTATGTGCATATCACTCAGCTGCAGATCCTCAAATCATCTCTGAATTGGTGCTGACACTGTCCTATCTTCTGGAGGGTGGCTACTTTTGTTTACCATGATCCCTGTGTGTTGTAAAATATCAATACAAAGGAGTAAACTAAATGTGAGATTGTAGTCCAACCCTGGAGCGAGCTTGGAGCCCCACATCCCAGTCACACACTTATTTTTTTCAGCTTAAAAAATAGCTCTGACATATACTGTTGTTCTGTACAGAGAACACTGAGCGAGTCACATAAGTCTCTGTACAGAGGAGCTTACACTCTAATGCAGAATACCATCAGCTATAAGGGGCTACGAATCCCAGCAACGCATTATATAGCAATGCAGAATAATAGTATATGAATTTAGTACATACTTTGTGCTGGCACTCTGCTCCGAGGTGCCAGTCTGATGTCTCGGACAGAGGGTCTCAGGAGGGGTGCGTAGGGTCCCAGGAGGGTTGCATAAGGTCTCAGAAGTGGAAGATGTGCAGGCGGCGGAAGCCCTGTAAGCAGGCGCCATACGTTTCCCCAGAAGGCTGCTGTATGGTACCTAATGCAGCTGAATCAATTTGAAATATTAAATTGCCGAAGTGCAGAGGTCAGTTGTAAAGCAGTGTGCAGAGGTCAGTGGTGTGATGCAGAGTGCAGAAGTCAGCGGTGTGACGCAGAGTATGTTTTACAGCAATGCAGAAAAATTCAATCAGTTATAAAGGACTGTAAATAATGACATTTTACAACATAGTGAATGTAATCACCTCTTCTGACTGTCCTCTTGGCTGGTCTGCTTCAAGTAGTTTCTGATAAAGTTCATACCCTGTGTGTGGAAGATTGCACAGCCATGGGCTCTTTAATCAGATGGCTGCTCGCTAAGTCCTAATGGTCGAGGCCCCAGCACTGCCGTATAATGTGCCTGGTTGCCTTCAGCACTATTCTGCTTGTATGCAGCAGTGTTTTCGTTCCTTCAGCTCCCTCCTCAGTATGTGGCGGCCCGGGGTCCCCCCCATCTCTGAGCTGGGATTATCTCCTGACCTCTTCGTACCTTCCTCCCCAAGGCCCAGATCTCCTCCGTGATGTGCTCCTCGAACAGTCTCAGTGTTGACTTCGATGACTGCCCATTGCAAACACTTACAGCTCGGTCCGGAACGCTGGAAGGGCTACCGATCCCAGCAGGCCGTGAGGGGGGAGCTCTGGGCCGCTCTGCAGACATGCTGGCGCAAGGCATAATGGGAATTGTAGTCTGAATGGGAAAGGGGCCGCAGGCCCCCTCCTGGCCACGGGCCGCCCATGGCATGAACATGACCATTCTCCAGTCATTCCCTGGTGCACATTCTTTTAAAGGCTTGGTTTCTGTTCTAAGTAAAATTTTAAAGGGGAACAGTAAACAAACATAGTTAATCTGTTTTTTACATTTCATTCCAGGGATTTGCAGTTCTCATCACTCCTCCCAGATGAAGCACCTCTCGTGAATGCCATCTGGGGCTATGGCGGTAATGATCGAAGTGAGCGTTACCTAAGTCGGTGCATCCAGAGCTTCCCCACAGTATGCATGAGGAGAGGAGGTGTAAGAGAGCCCCTTGCATGGGTGATGAGTGAGCAGTCTGCGGAAATGCGCATGGGCTACACAGACAAACTTTATCGAGGCCAAGGAGTGTTTCGTACCATGATCAGAAAACTAGCCACAAACTTGGAGTCCATTGGAACTCCGCTGTACTGTCACGTGGCCCCGGACAACAAGAGCAGTCAGGCTGCTACATTGGCAGCTGGCTTCCCGATGGCAGGGAGATGGCAGCAGTGGAATTTTCAGCCTTTGTAAATTTCTGGACTGTGTCTCTTTCAACCTATTTCATGGTGTTTAGGTATTAATATGTAAAAGCAAAATGACATATAGTACATCTTAAAATGTAACTCAATCCAAAACATATTTTAATTTTGTATAGATTGGGATGGAGTTTAAACTTCTGTCAGAATATGTATTGGTGTCTTTAGCCCAGTGGGGAGATTTAGCCTCACTTCCTATCCCAGTGACAGTGTTGTCACTGAGACAAAAATTGAGAAAAATCTCGAATGAGGACCCTAACATCCGCAGAGGTACTGCAGAGTGCGCTGTGTTAGGGCGGCTTATTCAATTGAATGGGGTGCTACCACAGCTAAATTGCACTCATAAAGCGTGTGCACCTTCTTTTAGATTGCATCACACCACATGGTAACAGATTACCACACAATGTGGTGTAATACAATGCATATATGAAGGCTAGGTGCATTGGGCTGCTATTAAGAAATAATGGCACCACAGTGCACCTAACATTGCAACATTTGATGTGTGATCACATGCAATGTAAAGGTGTTAACGGAGGCTGAAAGTGCCTTTTCTGTAAGTCTTGGTAAGAGAGATTCCCCCTCACTTCCTAGTATCACCAGGACAGAAAGAGCTAGCTGGTATTTACCCAATCCAAAATGTATGAATAAATATAATAACTCACTAATAAAAAATGTTGCTTGTGCTGAAGTTCCATTTTAAGTTCCACAATAAATTCATACAAACCCTACACACAATATGTTCATATTTAGGCAGGCATTTCAAGCTCAACAATAAATTTAAAGAAGCCTCATCCACAATGGCAATTTCTGGGCAGATAACAACCACACTTCATGATTGTTTATCTATAGCATTTTCACAGCAAATAAATCAAAATCTTCATTTTATATCACTATTCAGCAGATTACTACAACAGTACCCAGGATATTATCACTACAGCAGTGCCCCACAGATTATTACTACAATAGCGCCAAGGAGATTATTACAGTTACAGTGTGCTGCAGATGGTTACTATAACAGTGACAACTACTCTGTGATCCTGCTGCTTGGTCACCCAGCGTCCTCCAGCACAACTCTCGTCTTCCGCACTGCTTACTGCTTAGCTTCTGGTTCCTGCAATTCCAGCATCAGGAGTAGCTCCCGGCCCTGATTTTGTTTTGGTTTTTGAGACCCTTGGCCGAGTGGGGTCTTTATTAGGAGAAAACCGCAATAGGATACAGCAAGAGTAGAGTCAAGGGTCACAGGGCAGTAATCCAGACACAGAAAAAGGGTAAACGGCAACAAGGTACAGCAAGGATAGAGTTCAGGGTAACAGGGCAGCAATCTGGGTGCAGTAAAGGGTAAACAGCAATAAGCTAAAGCAAGCATAGAGTCCAGGGTCACAGGGCAGGTAAAGATGGCAGTAGACATGTGCACCAGCAAAACAATTGTTTTGTTTCATTTTGATTCGGATTTTGCGTTATTTCAATTTTCTGGATTCGGGTCCGAAAGTCAATTCCTTTCGGATTCGGACAAAATTTGTTAGCGGTAGTCTGTACGAATTGTCGTTTTTTGTTTGTTTCGTTCGATCAATGCAGCAAAGTGGCATTTGAGGGGAAAAAAAATTCAGTATGCTGAAGAGGGGGAAAAAAAACATGAGGTTCTCCCCCAATTCATACCATACCCTTTAGGTCTGGTAGGAATGTTAGGAGGGACCCCCCACCCAAGTTAAAACAAAAAAAACGTGTGTGGGGTTCCCCCCAAAATCCCTACCAGGCCCTTTAGGTCTGGTAGGAATTTTAAGGGGGAACCCCAGCCCCATAAAATGGGGAAAAAGTGGTGTCCCCCTAACATTCCTACCAGTCCCTTGATCCGAGCACAGGCCTGGCGATTGAGAGCCTCTCCCTGCCCCTTACCAGGCCACGTGCCCTCGGCATTGGGAGGGTGTCTCTTCCCCACAACCCTTAGCCGGTGGTTGTGGGGGTCTGCGGGCAAAGGGGCTTAATTGCATCCGGGTACCCCTTTGCTCCATCAATGTAATCCAGCGTCAATCACGATGCACGACGCCCGCCGACCCGCTGAAATTTTGAAAAAGTCCCGCCGCACGACAACCGTCTGAACCCGACAAAAACTCGCCAAAAAATGACATTTCCTGCCCAAAAGTAAACAGATGGGCGGAGAGAGCTGTGACGTCACGGCTCACTCCGCCCATTTGACTTTCTCAGCTGTCAAATATCACATGGCATTCGGGAGCTTCTGAATGCTATTTGTGATCTCCCGAACGCCATTTGGGTCAGTGAGCAAAGGTGTCATAGTACTTTTCATATGCAACGAACGAAACGAAAACGAAACGACAGTTCGTACAGACTACCGCTAACAAATTTTGTAATCGGAAATTCGGATTCATTTGCATTCGTTATATATCTGTAATTCGGATACATCCGAATCTCTGAATTTCCGAAATTTCATCAGAATTTCGATTTGAAACAAAACAAATCACACATATCTAGATGGCCACCTGATTTCAAACTCTGCTCCACAGCAGCTGCATTTCATCCACCCTGCCAGAATGAGCGACCAAAAAAAAAGCACAGTGACACCCAGCTTGCTCCCGATCCCCAACAGCTCTACCCTGCTGGCCGGAGGTACCGCCAAGCAGGGGCGTTTTACTTGCCCCCTGGGCCAAAAGTTGCCAGTCAGCCCCTGCCGCCAAGCAACCCCGGGCTAAATCATCGGCAGGACCGAGCGATAGTGATGGGCTCGATGTTCAATAGTTCGACTCGAACATCAGCAGTTGGTGTTTTCGGCCAACACACAAACTGTCAGGGCGTTCGGCGGGCAAACATCTTTTTTACAGAAGGGCCCATTCCTGCGCTCACCAAGAGTAACTGTGAGGGGTTAGAGTGTTTAGGCACCACCAACACCCAAGGCCCAATTTTTCCGCACCCGCATGTGACAGGTGCATATCATTTCAATTTCTTACAATTCTTTACATTTTTTTACAGCACAGCCCATCCCTGCGTTGCTCCAGATTCTGTCTGCTCCAGTTTTGATAAATTCCCCTGTATGTATGTTATGACTTTCAGTGCTAGTTCACACCAGCTCCAATGTTTTCCAGCCCTATTTAGTGCTGGAACACACTGGATCGCATCCCAGCCAGCTCAATGGGTTCTGGAGTGGGAGGGGGCGTGGCGGTGCATTAAAGTCAATGGCACCGCATTGCGACCGCCTGCACTGGAACGCATGGCAATTCAATGCCTGCGTTATGTTGCGGTCAGAAAAAATAGTGCATGCAAATGGAGTTCCCTGACTGGCCACCCCCTCCCACTACAGCGTCTTCACCATCCCTCTGTCTGAACTGCGGTCCGCAAGTGTCAAAAACACCACAGATAGCATGAGGCAGCTGCATATGGTGTGCACTCTTCTTTCTCTCTGGGCTCCCCCCAACTAGCTAAACACCAGGGCCCGGTCGCAAATGCGACCGCTGCGACCCTGATCATTTTGCCTGCGCTTAGTATGGGGCATTTTCACAAGTACATGTGAAAAAACCCAGTATTGGCACTGGTGCATCCCAACTTAATAATAAAATTTATTGCTGGGACTTGTAGTCCTGCATAGTTGATAGTATTCTGCATTGCTGTATAATGCAGGACTACAAGTCCCAGCAATACATTCTAATAAGGAGGGTCTGGGGGTCCTGCATGACCTGGACAGAGCTGAGGACCACCAAGGCAGATAGACTAACAGGGCAAAGGGACTAGAGCGAGGAGCTCAGGTATTTAACCCCTGAGCTGAGGCGTGATCCTGAGACTGGGCAACTGCTTAGCATGAGGCTGTTCTGGTAACAAGCTTCCCTCCTGGAGGGATCTGAGGCCTGATAATATGGGGGCTCCCACTGGACCTGAACTCTGGCAGCAATTGGGGAGGTGCAGCCCACAGTATCTGGATTATCCAGAGAGGTTGCCTTCTTTAAGACCTCTGCCCATTTGCCCGCATGCTGCATCTGACAGTGAATGGCTGACCGTCTGGCTACACATTGCATACCCGGCTACCTCTGCCTCATCAGGTGTGGCCTCTGTGAGCTTCTGAGAAAGGGAAGCTGATGCATTTATACTTCCTGGGTGTGTCCAGGAACCCAGGGAGTTCAGGGAAATTGAGTTAAAGGGACCTGGGCATGGTAGGTAGGTAAGTACTGCTCTATATAGAAAAAAGATACCACTATAATGTGTAACAATTACACATCAACCGATATGGTTGATAACCTATAAGCATATATGTAAGAATACCACCTCTATGTTGAGCAATGAGGTGGAAAAGGAAGTTATACTCCAACCAAAATTGGATAATTAATCAGCCAATTGGCTTACTTTATTGATTAGGAAAATATAATTTATACATTTAGGAGAGTATGAACACAGCAAACAAAGTACTGCTCTACCCTACTTCTTGGACTTAGATGTCTGTGGACTGCTCTACTTGCTGGGTGAAACAGTAAGTAGCTTGCAGGAAAAACACAGGGCGAGTGTAGTATTATATTGAGAAACACATACATACTGTATATCTATTTTCACTAACTATAATGGTAAAAAATGCATCCAGGTCTTTGGAGGTTGCTCTTGATGCTCAACGGAGGACCAAATCCCGTGAATCCTGGGTGGAAGTTCAGAATGATCAGAATAGTGAAGGGAAGTATTAGAAAAAACCTGTAGTAGAGCATAAAAGTTCAATAAATTCTAGTTTATAAAGAATTTGGTTCCCTGTGGACTGCTTATTAGCAATCATCTTGACGCCACTGCTCTACTTTGGGTTTTTTCTAATGCCCCCCTTTCTTGAACTAAGATGTCAACTCAGAGATAGTACAATGATGTAAATCCTGGTGCCTGTGTTTGCAAATGTCTGACAAAGATCCGCTCCAGTTGAAACATCTCACTTTGTGACTTGCTACAAAGTTACAATGTTCAGTCTGATCACTGAGGGAAAAGAGATTGAAAAAATGCCTGCAACAGACTCATATATTATGTTGTATATTGTGCCATATCAGGAACGTATTCATTCAAAGTTACTAGGTAGAAAGGCTCAACCAGTTAACTTGGCTGGTTTAACAG